TCTCATGTAAAAAACTAAAGCTTTCCAGAGCTCACCTCCCCTCACATATGGGGACTTCAATGGAAACAGAAATTAAGTGTAACATGTAATCTATGGACATCTGAAATGAGACCAAGGTGAAATTTTGAATAAGCAATCCACTGAGGAGAGAGATAGCATGGGGAGAAATGCCAGATATAGGTGACGGGGAGGAAGGCAGCAAATCACACTGCCATGTGTGTACCTATGCAACAATCTTGCATGTTCTTCACATGTACCCCAAAACCTAAAATGCAATTAAAAAAAAAAACCACTGAAGGACTCACAACAAACTCCATGGGGAAGAGCCCAACTGGCAAGTGTGTCAAATATCTTAGTGTCTTGACTACAAAATATGTCAACACACTAAAATCAGAAAATAATTTCTTGTTCAAAGTCAAGAACACGATGGTCAGGTGCGGTGGTACACACCTGTAATCCCAGCACTCTAGGAGGCCGAGGTTGGTGGGTCACTTGAGGTCAGGAGTTTGAGATCAGTCTGACCAACATGGTGAAATACCATCTCTACCAAAAATACAAAAATTAGCTGGATGTGGTGGGAGACACCTGTAATCCTAGCTACTGGGGAGGCTGAGGCAGAAGAATTGCTTGAACCCGGGAGGCAGAGCTTGCGGTGAGCTGAGATCCCACCACTGCACTCCAGGCTGGGCAACAGAGCGAGACTTCATCTCAAAAAAACAAAAAAAAAAAAACCATTATATTATTGTAGAGTATATCTGGTATACACTCTACAAGATATACAACCTAGAATAAAATCAATGGGCTCATATACATAAACAATAATGATGGGGGCCAGGTACAGTGGCTCACCCATGTAATGCCAGTACTTTGAGAGGCCAAGGAGGGTGGATTGCCTGAGGTCAGGAGTTCCTGAGCAGTCTGGCCAACATAAAGAAACCCTGTGTCTACTAAAAATACAAAAAGTCAGCTGGGCATGGTGGCGGGCACCTGTAATCCCAGCTATTAGGGAGGCTGCGGAAGGAGAATCATTTGAACTTGGGAGGTGGAGCTTGCAGTGAGCTGAGATCAAGCCATTGCATTCCAGCCTAGGCAACAAGAGCATGACTCCATCTTAGGAAAAAAAGAAAAAAAGCAATAATGAGTGGAGAAAAAAAAGAGAGGATCTCAATTAGGAAATGAGAAGAAAAAATGCCAGGAGGAGTGGCTCCTCATGCCTGTAATCCCAGCACTTTGGTAGGCAGAGGCAAGCAGATAATTTGAGGTCAGGAGTTTGAGACCATCCTGGCCAACATGGAAAAAAACCATCTCTACCAAAAACACAAAAATTAGCCTGGTGTGGTGGAGCATGCCTGGAGAGCCAGCTCCTCAGGAGGCTCAGTCAGGAGGATCACTTGAACCTGGGAGCAGAGGTTGCAGTGAGTCGAGATGGTGTTACTGCACTCCAGACTGGGTGACAGAGCGAGACTCTGTCTCAAAAAAAAAAAAAAATGAAATGAGAAAGAGATAACACAGATATGAAATTCCCAGTGCAGTTGATGAGACGTAGCCTGATTTTAATTAATATACTGCCAAGTTTTGCCAGCTACATTTGCCAACACCTTGCTACCCTGACCTCTCTATGCTACTTCCTTCCATCCTCCTCCTCCCTGCTTTTTTTTTAAACTGGAACCTTGGTTGCTAAGACAATCTCTCTCTCTCCTTAACGCTGTGACAGGACAGCTGTTATGCTTAGACCCTCTCTATCAACTGGTAGGAATTTTTTTTTTTTCAGTTTTGTTTTGACAGGGCTAACTTTTCAAATTAAGTCCCTTTATTGAATTTTCACCCTTGGATAGTTTCTGAAGATGCTGCCTTTGCAAAAAAAAAAAAAAAAAAAAAAAAAGTAAAATAAATAAAATTAGAACTGATATATTTCATGCCTTGTGAAAGCTGAGCCTGAGATGACAGTTTGGCATTATCAACCGCTGTGCCTTCAGGGAGCGCAGGAATAATATTGGGTGCTGAGGAAATGTGCAGATCACGGAGAGTGATGGCCTCATTGTTTTTAGGATACAGGGTTATGTGCACTGCATGCCACAAGTCAGAAAACAGCAGCATGCCCAAAAGCTTGAAAATGAAAGCAATCCAGATGCTACCAATTCCATCCAGAGCTTCCTAAACTAGGGGTGCAATCATGGGAAACAGACCCTCAATTGCTTTCACTAATTTTCTGTTGTGGAACTTTGCTAGTCAAAGCATGTTTCACAGACCAGCAGCACAGACCAGGGCATCATCTGGGAGCTTGTTAGAAATGCAGATTCTCAGGCCCCTACTGAATCACAATCCAGATCTTAACCAGGTCCTGAGGTGGGTAGTATACATGCTGAGGTTTAAGATGCAAGGCTCTAGTATTTTCAGATAACCTGGTAAGTGAGGTGAGGTAGCCAACTGGTAACCTTGGCAACTGGTCAGCTAAGTATGCAGTCATTCAACATATGTTTAGTGAGCACTCTCTATGTGAAGATGCTGTGACATGTGCTGGAGATGTTTTTGTTTTGAGATGGGATCTCACTATGTTGCCCAGGCTGGAGTGAAGTTGCTATTCACTTCACTATATGTGTTCGTAGTGCACTACATCCTTGGACTCCTGGGCTCAAATGATCTCCCTGCCTCAGCCTCATGAGTAGCTGGGACTACACATGTGTGCTACCATGCCTGGCTCTGGAGATACAATACTGAACATGATATACATGGTCCCTGCTCTCATAAAACTTACAGACTGGTGGGGAGAAACAGTTGTGATCAAATAATCATGTAAATAGAAAGTATAATTTCAAACAGAAAAGGATGTGATTAAAAAAACAGTTGTATAAAAGCAAGCAAAATAAGAATATTTAGATGAGTTTAGGAAAAGCTTTCCTAAGAAATAGGTGATGAACCTGAGGTCTGAACCATCCACAGTAATCAATTATGCGCGATTGGTCAGGGTACAGGTAAGAGAGAACAATATTCCAGATAGAGAAAACAGCATGTATCAAGGCTTTATGGCAAGACAGACTCCTGTATGTTCCAAGAATTGAAAGCATGCCTAAAGGTCTGCAGGCAAGGAGTGAGGAGAGGGTAGAGGAGATTAGGCTGAGGAAATGGGCAGGCACAGGTTATGCTGGGGCTATAGGGCGAGATGAGAACCTAGCTCTTTATCATCAAAGCAACTGGAAGTAAGCAAGACTTTTAAACAATGATATGTTTACTTTTCCCTTAAGAAAATGTTGATCTCTGTTATGTAGCAAGAACTGGAACTTGGAATCCAAGATAACATCGGCTGGTCCAAGGAAATGAAGTCACCACCAGAGTGAGCCTACCGAGGAGGTGGGAAAGCAGCTCTGACCTGTGGAGCTCATTCTGTGACAGGCACAGTGCTGGGCATGTTGCATGTGGCAGCTTTGCCCGGGTTGCAGAGAAGGATGGCCAGCCTTGCCCCCTGACCTGTGCCCACATGGACTCTGTCAAAAAAAATAGATTCATTCCCGCAGAAGGGAAACAAAAGCTTTAGAGGGGAGAAAGCTCACGGAAAATGCACAGTAATGAAAAACTTGTGGTTTCTGGGGAGTTTGGGTTGTAGGGGTGACCTGCTTTGTTTGGCTGTAACCTGGCAAAGTACAAGATCTTCTGCCTTTGTGTTCAGAAGAGCTAAAGACTGGTTGACAGGCACAAATGGCAGCGATTTGGATGCTTGAGAATTGTGAGAGAGATTTTAGAAACTGGGAATGTCTTGGAAATGAGATTATTGCTCTCTGGGCAGCCTACAACAGCCTCATTGCTCTGTGGTAATTGTGGATAGTCCATTCTCTTCCTCTCCTCCCTATCTGAGTCCCGTTTCTTTCTCCCTGTCTTTTCTCTCCTCACTCTCTTCTATGTACAGTTTCCCCTTTTGCTCAGTTTCTTTTACCCCTCTCACCTGGAGTGCTCTATCCTAGGCCTACCAGTACCCTCGCAAATGCTTAGCCCTTCTGAGGATCCTCTGTACCAGAAAAGGGATCCTCTGTACCAGAAAAGGGAAGGAACCATCCACTGTTGGTGTTCAACTGGTTGACAGGTCACGCACTGTGAGAAATGTTATATGCATCGGTTTCTCGAATTCTCACCTGGACGGGCTTTGTGAGACAGACATCACTCTCCTCTATTTATTTACCATAAGAGCTTAGGCATATTATTATTTAAGCTTTCTACGCCTTTGTTTCTCCATATGTGAAATGAGAACAACAGCCGACAACGTTGTCATGAGGCCATGGAGCGTAGTCCTGTCCTTCAGTGCAGCACACCCATCCAGAGTTGAGGAGAACTACTGAAGGGGGAGCAATGCACTCAGCTGCCTCCCTCCTGCTGCTTCTGATGAGGGGGCAGGGGGGGTACCCAGAAAAACTCTCTCTTAATTCTTTCCAAGTGTTTTGTGAATCTCCGAACAAGAGAGTGAGGCACAGCCTGGATGATGTCTGACAAAATAAGGAGACTGAAGAAACAACTCAACACAAAACAAGAGCAGTATCAACAACAACAAAACACTTCAGGAAGTAGGAGTTTGGAGATTTTCTCTTTACCGGGAAAGACACTTTGATTGGATGAAAGGGCCGTGTGAGTGTCGCCACTATCCAAATAGACATATTTCTGGATAATCTATATATTTATAAATTTAAATATATATAAAATATATATTTATGAAAAATTATTAAGACTATTTCACATCACTGAAGACAAGCCTTCATGCCAAATCACGTGATTATTGCCACTGCGCCATTCATTGTGCCTGTGGACCTATCCTTAGCTCTTCTGAACAGAGGATACCTGCACTTCACTAGCGTAGAGTCAAAAGGAGCAGATCACCCCTGCAATCCCAAATCCCCAGAAAGCACATATCCACTATGACTATGCATACATCCTGAGATTATTACACAGACTCGGTTCATGACAGATTCATAGAACTAATATCACTATGAACATTGCAGCAAAGTTGATTTACTTACGACCATCCACAGTTCTGGCCTCAAGATGCACAAGGTCTGGTTCTTTGTTTGACCCCATCACAGACCTAAAAAATGGAGAAATATGAAAAGAAACATCCACATTAATGACTTCACCTGTCCTTTAGAGGAACTCGGCAGAGCCCCCAGACTTTTAATATCCAGAGGCATCTAAACTCACAGTCCTTCGAATATATCTACTCTATTTATGTATCCAGCCTGACAGCAAAATTTCCACCTCAACTAAAAACGATAATGAAAACGTCACTTGATGAAAGCCAGGCTGCACTCTAGCAAGGATGTTGCGTGTTACTAGCTGGGACTTGCAAACAGGCCGGACACATGTTGTGTGTGTACTCTTGCAGCAACCCCAGTGACAGTGTATTAAACCTTCAGAACTTATTAGCAGATGCCAGGCATGCTTGTTTAGCTGGGTGACTTGAGCAGTAATTTACATAGCTCACTAATCTAATTAATTTTTTCATTTGAAACTTGCCAAACCACCTCCTACTGACCTATGAACAAATCCCATGACTCCATCAATGTAGCAGCAGTTACAGCAGAGTGACCATTCTCTGTATTGTCAAATCAGTGTGAAGAGAAATATATAGATGCCCCTCACTTTGATACATGCCTGAAACCATACGCATAAGCAAAATCAACGCCTATTTAAAATGCCTTGGAGACACGTTATTTTGTGTAATCTTGCAGTGAGCTCTATTAAATAGAAAATAATTATTATTCTGTAACATAAATAATATGGCAATCATGCTTTAAGATTTTTATACAAGATTAACTAAACTTGGGAACATCTGGACTTTTTGAAAAAAATCAGGTTTTGCAGAACTTCCATTTCTACACAGAAAACAGGCTTTGGGGAAATTCCATTTCTACACAGAAAACAGTGAAATGCCTCTAGATTGATACCTCTGCCTGCCCCTTGCCACTTAGCCCAGGCACTCAATCAGACTAGAAAATGCAGATGTTAAAAGGACTTATCCCTCCAGGGCCTAGTGTGGTATCCACCACTCTACACAGACCGGGTCCATGTCACTTTTGCTGGCCCATCTCCTGCCACACTGAAAAATGTTGCCGTTCTCTGAAAGTGCCACATTCATTTCCTCGCCCCTCTGTGAGCCTCTATAAGCTTCTGTTTTCAATTTGAGATGTTCTTCTCTGGCTTCACCTAACCCTCTGAACTGTAGTTTAAGAAACAATTGAAAAGTCACTTCCTCTGTTAAATATGTCTCATTTACGACAGAGAAAGCCTTTTCCTCCTATCAGCAAGTGTTTGTTATAAATCCTGTAAGATCCTTATTAGAGTTTGTTATAAAGAATTTTTTTTGGCCAAGGGCCTGGCTCATGCCTATAATCCCAGCACTTTGGGAGGTCAAGATGGCTGGATCACAAGGTCAGGAGTTCAAGACCAGCCTGGCCAATATGGTGAAATCCCATCTTTTCTAAAAATACAGAAATTAGTCGGGTGTGGTGGCAGGGGCTTGTCGTCCAAGCTACTCAGGAGACTGAGGCAGGATAATCGCTTGAATCCAGGAGGCAGAGGCTACAGTAAGCCAGCAGCATGCCACTACACTCCAGCCTGGGAGACAGAGCAAGACTCTGTCTAAAAAAAAAAGACTTATTTTTGTTTTTTTCCAATGTGAGGACATACCCTTCCACTAACACACAAACACAAAAGATACACACACAGAGATACCCAATAAAGGTACTGGAGGGTCTTCTCTTTACACACTTTATATTCATAGGTATAGTTCCTGGTATATAATAGAGAGTCAAATGAGGAATGAAGGATTAACAAAAGGAAAGAAGTTAGGAAGAAGCGCAGGGAAGACAAGAGAAAGGAGGTAAAGAGAAAGAAAGCGAAGGAGCTAGAAAGGTCTGGATTTTCTGAAGTTAATCGTTAATCATTGTCCTGGGGGTATTCCCAGAACTCTACTTACTTAAACTCATTTTCCCAACTCAGAGAATCTTAGGGCTAGCTAGCTTAATCACTCTTCATCTGGAGAGAAGAAGTCTCCTTAAGGCCCTGCTGCGGCTGTCAGTAAGTTTTCTCTGATTGATACATGGCCTGAAATCCAGAGCCTCAGCTTGGAACATTAAATCCTACTTTCTTCTTCTCCCAGGAAACAGGTATTTCCTAAAAAGGGTTTCATAATTTCCCTCATATAGACATGGGACAACCATTTGGACATTTTAATCACTGGAATCTTCTTGAATCCAAGCAGCAACTAATACTAATACTGCAGCGACTAGTAGGCTATGGGTGGTGACTCTTCCCACACTGAGGCATTAACTGGACCTGCAGGTGGTGACTTCTGACAAAACCACAGTCATGAGCATAGAAAATGAGGCCAGGTGTGGTGGCTCATGCCTATAATCCCAGCACTTTGGGAGGCTGAGGTGGGCAGATCACAAGAGTTTGAGACCCACCTGACCAACTAGTGAAACCCCATCTATACTAAAAAAAAAAAAAAAAAAAATTAGCCGGGTGTGGTGGTGGGTGCCTGTAATCCCAGGTACTCAGGAGGCTGAGGCAGGAGAATTGCGCGAACCCGGCAGGCGGAGGTTGCAGTGAGCTCAGATTGCACCATCACACTCCAGCCCGGGTGATAGTGCAAGAGTCTGTCTCAAAAAAAAGAAAAATCAATGAGCTGCTTGAAAAGCCTCTGCCCAGAAAGCTCAGCAGTTAACTGTTTTAGCTCAAAACGGACGGTTACATGTTGTTCAACTGTCCATCTTACTATAAGTCTCATCCTTGAAATGACTACCACCATTTATTCTCAGGAGAAGCCCAGCATCCCAGAAACACAAGGTTAAAAACCAGCATGCAAGCCTATCTGCTTGGCTTATGGCTAGTGTCAATGGGAGGTAAAATAATTACCCTGAATTCAGTGTAGCTTTCCATGAGCTTATGGCCTCCAATAAATAATAGCAGTAGTTTCTTAAAATCTTGCATTACCTTTAATGGCAAAGCTATTGTTTCCAGTGACCTCCTCCGCTGCCTTATCAACTAACAAAAAAGAGGCAAGAGCAAAACAGGGTTCTTTGTTCTCCCCAAATCTACCGTGGCTAACAAACCTCCTTACTCATTTGTTCATCTGTAGTAAACAATAACAACAACACAGTAAAACTTTACATATGAAAGGCAAACCACAGTGTTTCCAATAATTTTTTTTTTTTTTTGAGACGGAGTTTCGCTCTTGTTACCCAGGCTGGAGTGCAATGGCGCGATCTCGGCTCACCACAACCTCTGCCTCCTGGGTTCAGGCAATTCTCCTGCCTCAGCCTCCGAGTAGCTGGGATTACAGGCACGCACCACCATGCCCAGCTAATTTTTTGTATTTTTAGTGGAGACGGGGTTTCACCATGATGACCAGGATGGTCTCAATCTCTTGACCTCGTGATCCACCCACCTCAGCCTCCCAAAGTGCTGGAATTACAGGCTTGAGCCACCGCACCTGGCCATTTTTTTATTCGATGATGTGCTCACCCTTAGACCTGTGATCCAAGAGGATCACAGGTGATAAAGAATGATTGCTCCTTTTACTTTATGGCCCTAGTGAGTTCTTAATTGCTGAGGCCAGTCAACGCTGAACATCTGTACAGGTCCTGATTTTAATGGTCCTGTCATTGACAAGATACCTTGGAAAAGCATATCACTGCAGTTGACCCAAATGTTATCATTACTATAGCCTATATATGCTCCTAAATTTTTGTTGGAGCTACAGAGTTCAGTGGTTTTCTGCGTGTTTTAAAACCAACTGTATTTCCTCATCATCGTTAAACATCACCATCATCATTATAATCATTAAAGAAAAACAGCATCAACATAGAAGTTAATACAAAATGAACTCTGCATGGCCTTACTTGCAGAATGAGAACTTGAGACTGATATTCAAGCAAAGATGCTGGCAAATCTGACTTCTGGTATTAAGCACAAGGGATTAGGCACCTTTGCTTTATGCCTCTAGGTTATATGGCACACATCACTGTCATAGTTGATAATGATTTGCCGCACGTCTGCATAAATGACTCGTTTACTACACTGAGCTCCCAAAGGCAAGTGTTCTGTCTTTTATCACTGAACTCTTTATGCTTACCGAAGTACGAAGAAACAAGTTTTCTCAGTAAATATATACACAACATTTTTCACCAGTCAATATTTACTCATGTCCAATATAGCATATTACTCATTTCGGGGACTCAGAAAGAACCTCTCTATAAATATACAATAAAAATTTTGTCTAGGAGATTTTAATTATTAAAAAAGAGGCAATGGGTAGATGTATCTTGTATGCCTTTATATTGCCTTTCTGTTGAACTAGGAAAATGACCTCCCTACTTGAACTGAATTTTATGGAGGGGAAAGGGAGTCTTCCTGTGCACATCCTGGTGTCTGCCTGGGATCTCCTCTCATCCTTCTGCCTTCATAACTCTTATCACTGTGGCTCAGCTGCAGATGACTGAAGTTGAAAATAGGCTTCTCAGTGGGGATGCCACTGAAGCCAAGTTAGTTATCCTTTCTGAGGCTTCCAGAATGATGCACATACTTTTGCACAGAAAAAAAAAACAGGCCATGTTATAACTGGTGACTCATTTGTCAACCTCCTTTACTGACAGACTCAAACTTCTCTGTATCTCTGTGCTAGGCACCTGCATGCCACAGCCAGATTATCAAAAAGCATTAACTGAATGGTTTTGAGGAAGGAGAAGTGCGTAAACCAGCCATATCAGCATGTATTAATTTATCTATAGATGTAATTTTTATTAAGTTAATAACTCCGTGCTGTCAGTTTTTTTTTAGTCTCTAAAAAGAAGTTAACATAATTTTTCCTATAATATACATCTTTAAGTACCAACAAGATCGCTGGCACAGAGCTAGGGATCAATAAATACAGATAATCAGATAACTCCTTCTCTTCTTTCCCCCTTCTTTCCTTCCTTTTCTTTATTTCTTTTTTTGTTTTTAAGACAGAGTTTCCCTGTTTTGCCCAGGCTGGAGTGCAGTGGCACAATCTCGGCTCACTGCAATCTCCACCTTCCAGTTTCA